TATTTTCATTAATTTTAGAGCTATCGACCTGAAATTTAGCTTTCATTCAAAAATATGTTTTAAAATTATATTTTGCCTCATAACTCCTACAGTTAACCAGTTATGAACTCATAAATTTAAACAAATTCTTACTCATAATAGGATTATATTAAATTAGTAAATGCGGATTGTCCGGCAACCTTAGGCGCCCTCTCCTAAGTCACAAGGGCTCACTAAGAACCAGCATATTGATACTGTTAAGCCGATGTGAAGTGTGTTTGGAGACATGGCTCCAAGCACCTTTCTCTTGCGCCTCCAGACTGTTGTTCAGTCAATTAGCAAATCGCACCATAAGCTAAACCCATGTTATATACTTATGTATATGTTTCTTGAGCTTACAATGGCCATTGTAGAAGGCGACAAGTAGTCTGAGTGTTTCCCTTGTTAGGTTCATTACATATACTCATAATTAGAAGAATTAACGATGAAAATTACAGAAACTACTTGCTATTATATATGTGTTTTATTATACCAGTCTATCGAACTTATACCAGTTGTTTGTTCGATTCATTATTATAAAAAGTTTGTGGGGTTGAGAGAACCCCATTAGTATTATTCCAGTCTTTTTGACTTACAACAGATTATATCAGTTTGTTTATTCTAAAAAGGTTGTGGTATTGAAAGAAGCTTATTATAATGATATTACTTTTGATTCATACCAGATTGTATTAGTATATCTAATTTATGCCAGTAGGTTGAACGAATCCCTACTCTAAAAAGTTTTTTGGGATAAAAGTAAGACTCAGCCTATTAGCCTTTTTAGTTTATAACAGCGTATAACTATTCTGTTGTACAAGTCTATCTTATTTATACCAGTTGCTTGTTCAATTCGCTAGTCAAAAAAGTGTCTGGTGCCATTTACTTTTATACTAGTTTAATTGATTTATACTAGTTGTTTGTTCGATTCATCACTCTACACTTTTGGTATTACACTTTTGGTATAATCGAAGTTGACTAATAACATTATATTTCCCTAAAAAATGCAAAACTTTCGACTAAGAAATATTTTTGCTTGTTCTAATAAAATATAGGTTCGAGCTATCTTAACTTTTAGCTGTCTTGCCTACGCTTCAATGAGTAATTTTATAAATGTTTGAGTTCAACTCGCATCACATTTTGTAAAATAGACTATCTTATCACTACATACTGCCGTTCTCTTATCGCTTCATGCGTTACCTAACCTCACTCCTAACAGACACTTTTCTATAACAAGATCACTGAAATTTGATGTAACATTTCGGCTGTTCGCCGTATAATATATAGAATATATAATATATATGAGTGTATTTACGCACAAATATTTGCACCGTTAGCACACAGATAACATAAAAACTACTTAACACATTCTCTATTTAAATATTTGTTGAGCTCGCACATGCGAGCATAAGTGTACGCACTTTGCCACTTTGGCTGCCGATAAGCAGCCCTTAAGTGTCAACAAAAAAGTCGCGTTAAACTTGCTGTATTTACTCGTACAACTAAATTGTTCCCCTTTCATATGCCACACACTATTTACTAGAACTTTTATTCATTTCGCTCTTAAAACCAGTTCTACTCATACATTCAAGTGTGTGTATGTGTTTTCATTCAGCGCGACTCAATTCTCGCTGATAAGCATAATTTCTAATCAACAATTGTTGTTCACTCGACCCAGAGGAAGTTAATACACACCATAATATGCTACAATAATGTGTGACATCTAGTTGTTGTATTTTAGTATTGTGTGTATGCAGAGGCGACACATTGTATCGCACAATTTACAAAATTCATGAATTGAAATTTGAAGTTCATGAATTAAAAATTACCCGCTTGCATTGTCGCAGCCGCGGACGCGCCTTGCGACTTGAATTTCTGCAGGCATTGCAGAGTTTTTTTTTTATCCGTTTTTGAAGCAGTTCGCGCGCAATTCAGGGCTTTTGTTCTTTAAGTTTGAAGTGAGTGTCGTGCGTTTGCAATAAATGTGTATGGAAATAATTTTTACAGCGTTGGTCTTAAACGCCTAAAATGCGATTTTTGAGTATTCGGCATTTTTTGGGGTACTCAGTATTTTTTATGTAATATTTCGGCAGAAATTCAATATTTTTTTCTGGAATTTTGTTATAAAAATTTATGGCTCAGTTCTTCCCCCATCTCCTTCTTCACTTAGTAGTTTTGAGAAGTGCTTTTTAGTGATGATGTACCGTTTCAAATTCACGAGCGTATAGTCACCAGTTTTCTCCCAGTTACTTAGTTTATTGGCAAACATACACGAATACTTCAGGCCGTTAAGACTGCTAAAAAAATATTGTATATACAGTTATTAACGAATTGATATAGTTTTGATAAGATTATTTTGATTTTCATTGATATAATAACAAAAATAAAACTGAGTCATGAAATCAAAATCATAGTGAAACCACAGAACTTGTTTTAGTATCATTTTGTTGTTAAAATTGTTGGTGATTGGTTTTAGAAGGCAAATAAAGTGATATATATACATAATACATATACTGTTAAAAATTAAATGGAAGACAAAAATATTATTAAAAAAAGTAAAAACGAAAAAAAAATTAAAACAAAAAAGAAATAAAAATACGAAAATATTAAAAAAATATTTATTTAAAAAAATTACAAAAGCCAAAACTGCAGACCTGTCTCTTATACACATCTAGATGTGTATAAGAGACAGATATATATGTGATCAGCATGATCAGTTGAGTCGA